GAGAGCGGCTACTTTCGAGAATATTGGAGACCAGATTGTCCAAGGAAAGATTAGAGGAACCAGGACAGAGTACCAAGTTCCTCTTTTACCAAAAATGACTTCTGATGTTGTTGCCTTCCTTGGGTTTGCAGTGACGACATATATATTTTTTACTGCCATAATTATTTCTGCACAAGACATTCTAGCATTTACAAATATCGCCACACCCTCAATTATCTTGTGTTTAAACGCTCCATATTTTGCAATGACTTTAATATTGCCTTATTATATCGATAAATTATCACTTATGAACAAAGCGGTAGCATCAACTGTGTTTATCGTCGCTGGAGTGTTTATTATTACACTCATTCCAACACCAGCACTTCGACTGTTTGGTGTTGTCTTGGTATCCATTGGAACAGGGATTGCAGAAATGGGCTTTCTCTCTGCAACTTCACTTCATCAAGATTTAACTCTTCATTCGTTTGCATGTGGTACTGGATTGGGGGCTGCGATCGGTACTTTGTACATGTCAGGTATATATCCGATATGCTTCGGTAACTGAAGCATCATCTTTGCATATAAATCAACTTAATGTGTCCATGTCCAATGTGACTCCAATCATAATTTTAAATAACGGAGATAAATACGTCTTTTAATGAAATATTCATTTAATTTATATATTAATTAACAATATAGGTATGACAACAATCGCGTGCATCAAGCCATCCATTGCGTTGCAAATTCTCTTGGTATTGCTGCCAATCTATCCTCTCCTTGCCTGGCACYTAAAAAGAACGTCTAACCTACCAAATAAGGAACTGACAACGTCAAAGGGTACCCATGTTGAATTTACCCCACTGACTGAACAAGATTCAAATTCAGAGGTTGTCGACCAACACTTAACATTGAAGGAAAAGTTTTCAGCTGTTCTAGAAAACCTTCACCTCGCTGTTCCTTTGTTCATTGGGGAGGTTTCAGACTTCCTAATAACAAATGCTGTTATCACAACTATTGCCTTCGAGAATTCTCCATTTGACCCTAGAGACCATTTCCTATATTACCAGTTAACATTCTGGGCAGCCGAGTTCATAGGTCGATCGTATGGTCTTGTTATATTATGGTTCAAGCCATCTTGCACAGTGGTGACCAACAAAACGTGGATCTTCAGTGCAATCATTACTGCCAATTTATTATTGCTGACTTGTGCAAGTTGGTACCGATTTCTTCCAAATTTCTACGTTGCAGCAACATTGGTTGCAATCACTGGGGCAACTCAGGGAGCGCTCTATTTGAATACGTTTGCAGTGGCGGGAAAAGATAAACGACCACGCCATAGGGAATTTTCCCAGGCTTTTCTTACTTCTGCTTTAGTGGGAGGAGTCGTTGCTGCTGCTCTGATGGGCTTTTATATCGAACCAAAGCTTAAAGAACATTGTATGCAGATTCTGGCACCGCATGATACGCTGTGCTTTACTCGTTTAACGCATGGACARTGGAATACAACCTTGTCTTGCATAGCTCGTTAGGCCGAACTCAATCTGTTGTAAATAGCACAAACATGACAGTGTACATTTTTGCCTATGTGTTAAAATTTTCAGTCGTTTTAGGTACAAGTATAGTATTAACTAACTAAAGAGTATTAACTAAAGTATTGTAGTAAACCAAATAGCTAAGTCAGTGTCTTGCAGTTTGAGAGGGTTTTTCCGAAAGCGYATTTGCCGTGSCGTTGAAARGGTAAACGTGAGTAATTAGGTTACGCGAATATTCAATGAATGCTCAAATACGTTCAAACTATAATCCGCATAACAATATGTACAGACAACAATTAGCTCATTCAGCCGTTTCAGCAGCATTTACTTTATCGAATTTGGATAGATGACATCTATTCATCTTCATCTTCTGCTGATATCGATCATATTCAACATCTATACATAGGTGTGTAGAAAATCAAAGAAAACTATTTTGTCCTCAATCCTCACGACTAGAATTTACCAGGCCACCCGCCATTTAGTAAGGAATCTAGTGTTTGAATAATCAAGTTTATTCACGCTCTAGTGCAAGCGGCATCAATGAAAAGGGAGATTCATTAGAATTTTTCAGTGGAAAGTCAGGGCTATTTTCGAGAATGTTGGGGGCATGATTGTCCAAGGAAAAGATTTGATAAAGGAAACAGAACGCAGTAGCAAGTTCCACTTTTACGAAAAAATGACTTCTGATGTTGTTGGCTTTCTTGGGTTCGCTGTGACGACGTATGTCTTTTATACCGCAATTCTGATTTCTTCCCAAGATATTCTGGCATCAACAAATGTCGCCACAACGTCAATTGTCCTGTGTTTTAACACACCTTATTTCGCAATGACTTTAATATTGCCTTACTATATCGATAAATTATCACTTATGAACAAAGCTGTAGCTTCAGCTGTATTTTTGGGCACTGGAGTCTTGATTATTACACTTATCACAACACCAGTGATTCGGTTGGTTGGAGTTGTTGTGGCTTCCTTTGGTTTTGGTACTGCAGAAATCGGCTTTCTTTCTGCAACTTCACTTCATCAAGACTTCACAATTCATTCGTTTACATGTGGCACTGGTTTGGGGGCTRCGATCAGTACTTTGTACATGGCAGGTATTTATATTTATATATATTCTAAATAGTTTATAAGATATTTCAAGCATCAATGGATATAAATCATGCAGCTAAATATTTTTGAATGCAAATGTATAGAAATTAAAAATTTCCCTCAGACTCATTTAGCCTAAAGTTTTGACATTTTATATTCACTCAATAAAGATATTGAACTAAAAAAAACACTTACACCACATAGCCTTAAAAACTATAGTGTTTCTATCATCGTCATAGAATCATTTCAATCGCCCAAAATGTGAAACTAGAATAATAAAAAATTTACACGATGTAAAATGATTGGTACGATCATATGTTTCACACTGTTTCAATTATAGGCATGACAACACTCGCGTGCATCAAACCATCTATAGCATTGCAAATTCTATTGGTACTGTTGCCCATCTACCCTCTCCTTGCCTGGTACATAAAAGGAAAGTCTAACCTACCAAATAAGGAACTGACAACGTCACAGGGTACCCATATTGAGTTCATCCCACTGATTGAAGGGGATTCAAATTCAGAGGTCGATGACCAACAATTAAMATGGATGGAAAAGTTTTCAGCTGTGCGAGAAAACCTTCACCTCACTGTTCCTTTGTTCATTGGGCTGTTTTCAGACTACCTTACTATGAACGCTGTTATCACAACTATTGCCTTCGAGAACTCCCCGTTTGACCCTAGAGACCATTTTCAGTATTACGTATTAGCATTCTGGGCTGCTGAGATCGTAGGTCGATCGTATGGTCTTGTGATATTATGGTTTAAGCCCTCTTGTACGGTGGTGACCAACAAAACGTGGATTTTCAGTGCAATAATTGCTTCCAATTTAGTATTGCTGATTTGTGCAAGTTGGTACCGATTTCTTCCCAACTTTGCCGTTGTAGCAACATTGGTTGCAATCACTGGGATAACTCAGGGAGCGCTTTATTT